CTAGATGATTCAGGACATGCACGGGTCAAAGATGTCGCCTGGATCAAGTATGTTGCTGATCCATAGCCTGCCCTTCCATTTAGCCTGCAAAATCAAGCAATGAACGATATATTCACATTCTTAGTATACGTTATACGCATATCGAAGGTGCCATGCAACATTCTATATCCAGAGTTACACGGCACTTTTCGCTCCCGTAATTATCGTCCAGTGTTCATCATAAAAACAGCTGAGTTATGAATGCGGCAGCCGGCATAACGACTGTAGTGATAGCTGATGGCCCTTGGCCAGATGTTACAAAACCATATCCGAGCCATCATTAACCAACGGTAATGTAAGGTTGTGGTCATCATCATTAATAAGCCATTTACTGTTTAGCCCACGGTATGGATGAAGATGCCTGAAAGCTGTTGACAGATGGCGAAGAGGATCATTCGTCTCGCGGGAAGCAGACACATTGAGTCGGCCTCGTGACCATCAACATGTGCTTTATGATTATTTACACCATGTTTCATAGCTGGCACCAAAAGATCACTGTCGTGCCATTTAGACGAAAGGGCTCATTCCCGTGGACTGGGTCCACATCAAAAACAGGAGGTGCCTTGAAATGTTTCCTTTTGATGTCTGGACTCCGAGGGGTCATTTTAGAGCGCATCTCTTTCTAAGGTTCGCTAGGTAAACGGAAAACCGTTCCCAGTCTTCAATCTTTCACGCCTGCAAGCCCAAACTTCTTCAAACGAAAACTTTGTTATGAATCCTTTCAAAAAGGTTTCCTTCCTCACGACTCCAGCAGCACGACACGTGAGAGGGCAGGCCGTGGTGCGTGGACCATACTGCCCGTAAATCCTGCAGCAAAACGTTAAAAGGGTTCAAAGTGGATCATATGCACCCAAGTGGCGCACGTCCTAATAAGGCCATATAATGCCACTTTCTATGCTCATGAATGTCTGATGTATTACATGCTATTCACTACAAGTCAACAGATATGTACATTTCATCACTACGTTGTTTCGTTTCAGGGGAAAATACAAAGCTTTTGTCGCCTTTGTCTGTGTCTGGAAAACTTTGCAGCATGTTATCCCTGTTTTTATGGTCTAAACTTAAGACAATGTACCCGTCGATCAATGACCAAGAGAAACACCTACATTAGACGAAATTGACTTTTTGTGTTTCTTCTTAATCCAAAGCTATTAAATCATTCACGAAAGCTAAGACACCCAATAACCTTCGAGCTTCAGAATCGTACCCCCCCCCCCTTCCTGCACATGTTACAGGACATATCGGGCGGCTTCCTCGCGGAATGGCGCTGCCCAGAACCTGCCCGAGCTTGGCACGGCGTCTGCGCGCCGCTGGAAGTCCCCGGAGAGCGCTCAGTTGCGACTGGGGCAAAGTTTCGGCGCGTCCGCGGGCGATGTCCTTGGTGCTGAAATGAGAGTCCTACTATACATGTACCTAGCTTGCGGGTGGGGAGGGCGTGTGCTGGGCTGGGCCCTACCGGGACAGAAAGCGTTCGTACCCCGTCATTTCCAACTATAATGGACGTTATCGGTTAATCATTATCCCAGTTGGTGCTCAGTGTCAGATTACGTCCGGATATGGTGTGAAAATCATACCACTTGACTCTATCGATCACAGGATTGGAAGCAATGTCGTGATTTTACCCTGTAAAAAGACGATGATGTACGCCGCAAATTTGCTCCCCTGGGTTCTTGTTCATTATCTTTCAGGGTCCTCTAGGCACGGAGAAGACTGTCTCAATGCGCTTTTCGCATGTTCAGAGCATCGCCTGGGAGTTATCTGTAGTTACCGTAGTAACAAGCCAGATTTGATTCGTTCCATAACCTTCCCAAGGCCGCGGAGTCCAGCCAGGAATGCCAACAATCGAACCCTATACTCCTCGATGATCTGTCCGTGGGTGCTTATTAGTAATATATTAGCTTCCCTACAAAGAGTCAAATCCATTCTTGACCAGCAATCTTAATGGCACCTTTCCACCCCATCAGTGTTCATTTCACGTGACGACGGGTCCGTCCATGAGTCAATGTCACGGTCATCGCGTGTGGCGTTAGTCAGCGTACGTCGCCGATTACACATGATTGATCCGACTTGTCCCGGCCATAGATCTCCCACAATCCCATTATATCCACCTCGTTATTCAGTGGCGCGGCTGAATTGCCAGCCAATTGGAGCGGAACGATTGATCTATTGTCCTACAAAGTCAGCCTAAATCTTCCTATTGACATCAAAGTTTTTCATCCTGTAAAACTAATTGAGCTGAAGCCCTCTGCTCGGGGAAGTTGCTCTCTCCGCAATGTTGTCAAAGGGCCTGTTTAAGCGGGAAGGTCGAGAAGAAGAATGAGCTTCTTCTCAACTTAGGGTCAAGGACCTCATTCAAGTACATAAGATGGCAGTGAAGTTTAGATAGAATCGAGTAGAAAGCCGCAGTTGAGGATAATGGAAAAGAAGAAACGTTAAGATAACAAGCCTATCACCATAGTGACGTACTTGTGCTACTTACGTTTTATCGGTTCATTATCTCAACAAGTCTCCTCGTTCCCAGGTCAGTGATGCATAATCTCGCGCTTTTATTCTATAGCGTACCAAACTTCAACTGTTTCTTCTTACATGTATGTGTACTTTTCAATAAAAGGTAAAGAATGGCTACTTAAGAGGATGGTGATCAGTGAAAATCAGCGCATCGAATGGCAAGTAGAAAGAGTTAGCCAGGAGTCACGTCCGTGGTGAAATAGTGAGCAGTATCGTTGCCCGATGAGATCGTATTGAGAACAGCTGATACTCGTCATACGTGCAGGAAATACGTAAACATCCATGTTACTTTCCGTTTGGCCTGGAAGTCCACAATAAAACGGTTGATGTAACTCGTGCCATACCGCGGCACTTCACAGGAACTCAGTCAAAAATTTGTGTTCGTATTACGAGCCAAGGTCTTAAGTGGCTACTGAACAGCTTCTGCCAGTTCTGAAGAGTGCGGCAGGTGACCCCAACAATACCTGCTCTATTCTGACAACTTATTTCCTACTCCCGGTGGAGCAACGCACTGGTTTTATACTTCTGGTAGGAAGTAAACCTACATGAGTGGTTGACCCCGCATGAGAACCCCAACCCACGAGGACAATCACGCCAAATCCTCCGCATCGTTGACATTTGAAAACGGGTATTTGCAGCTTTGTAACGATGCTCCAAACGAATTGGCGGCTTCGACACGGGGATGGCTGTTACATTTACGGTCGTTCTGTGCAGCGTGCTGAGGACTTCAAAGGATTGGCATCAATATGCCGTTCGCTAAAGCTGTAGTACAGCAGATCTGATTCGTCGGGAGAGTTTTCTTCTAGCTCTTGGTAATTAATAAGGTGAAGATTATGAACCTTGACCATCCACCAAGGAGTCTCCCATGTCCAGTGGATCAGCAGGTATTACTAAAAAGCCGGCATCAAACTTACCTCCTCCGCGCTCGTGTCTTAAGACAGCCTTAAGGTCAAGAAAGTCAAGGATGAAATAGTTGGAAAGGTCACAGTTGAATTGCACGGACTTATTGGAATAATAAAGTAATTCAGATGCTCCAAACTACGCGAAGCATCAAGGCATGTCAGTCAACTCGACTTGTTTCATCTTGTAATGCCGACACACGCACTCATCTTTACACAGTTTGGCGAAGTTTGAAACACTAGCGATGATGTTGGCTGTAGAATGGATAAAAAGCCCGCTGCTTGCATATCGTACAAAACAATATTCTTGACGATTTTCGTGCCGTTTGTGACGTATTCGCTCGGTGGCGCTTTGTAAAATGAAATCCTAGAGTCAGGCGTGTTACGTGGGATTTAATTAGTCTTTCTACTGGCCCACATTGTCAAACCATTTGATCGTGCAATGACCTCTGCCGACAATTGAGGGAAATGCAGTAACATAGTCTTTGAAGGACGTTTGCCTGTATTTCCGTAGAGTTTAAAAGAAGCAATGGCCAGTGATCACAAAAACTTTTAAGTTATGGCAAGAGAAAGAGAAGGAAAATCTATGAAAGTTTTACTTGTTGGTTTTCATATTCTGGAACTAGACAGAGTGGTGTTAAATGTCACGTCATCACTAATTGCACACACAAGAATAAGAACACAGTGGCAGATCTCGGCCGACCACCATGCTGTGGAACTCTACCATAACTTACTGATGATGGCCATGAAAAAAATACCGCTGTGTTTTGCTTGTAGCGTCACCAATTTAAAACGGCCTTCATTTCGAACTGAGGTCAATCTTTCTCATGTCCCGATATATGGAGCACCTGCAGAATGTCCGGGTGTTGATATGGATATGTCACTGAACCGGTTGGTCCAGTCGTCTGGTAAACGTCGCGTTAAAAGAAAACAGACTGATTTCATAGTGTGAGCTATAGAACGCGTGAGTAAAAAACACTGTGATCCTAAGATTATTTTATACTGTATCAAAACCTTACGCATTGTTGCAGTAGCCGTTGGATCAGAGTAGGAGTTTGGATTAAATAGTATTTCGTCATGCTCTGCAACGGTCCTGGTGAAGCGATTTCGTCACTCGTATGAAATCTATGAAATGTTGCTGAATAAATTGCCCTGGTTGGTGGAGATAATTGTCTGTCGCGCTCACTATGCAAATTTCTTAGAACAAAGGCTCATAAAGCCGTGCTCTGAGAATTTTCGAGCCCATTCGTCCACCTGCCGTCCTGACTCAGCCATGTCCGCCGCCACCGACTTCAACTTCCCGCGCTACACGCGCGCCCTGGTGCGGGAGATCCCCAAGTCCATACGGCACCAGTCCGAGGGTTACGACGAGAAAAAGAGAGTGGTCATGAAGAGAGCGTTGGAGGAACACGCCGGGTACGTGCAGATGCTGCGGGACCTGGGGCTGGACGTGACTGTCCTACCGGCCGATGAAGCGATGCCGGACTGCGTCTTTGTGGAGGACACCTGCGTGGTGGTCGGCGACAGGGCACTCATGACACGGCCTCCATGCAAGCCCAGGAGGAAAGAGGTACTGTTTCTTTAGACTAATCCAGAGTTTATTTTCCCGCGCAGTCCCTGAGGAAGGCCTGAAGGAGGGAATCGTTTCCTATCTTTAGTTTCCTAGTGATTGTATTGCACGGATGACCTATATCCTGATGAGCTGCACGTTCGCTAGGACAGTAGCTACTTCAAGTGATTATATACTTTTTAGACAGACAAATTTGTCAAAAAAATTATTTAGAAGCATCGACTTGTATTCTACACCGTATTGTTTGTACCGAGTCTTTACGTTATAATAAGCCTGTTGCTTATGTAAAGTTGAGGTTCATGAGCGTGGTGTATTGTTTGCAGGTCGACGCCGTGGAACGATGCTTGAAATCCCTCGGGATAAAAACTCACAGGATCTACAACAAGAAAGCCATCCTGGAGGGTGGAGATGTCCTGTTCACAGGTAAGACACTCTCTTGTAGACAAGCATTGTCTTGACTATAAGAAAAACGCGGGAGACTGTTATACAGACAACATTCGGAGACAATAATAGTATTCAATGTACATTTCCCTTTGTGTAAGCAGTCATTCAACTATTCTTATCCCTTTCCATTGTCTTTCATTTTCAGGTAAAGAATTTTTTGCGGGGATATCCAGCAAATCGAACGTTGAAGGCCACAAAGCCCTGGCGGAGACCTTCCCCGAGTACCCGGTGCACTCCGTACCGGTGGAGGAGCCGGAGTTCCACCTGAAGGGCATGCTGTGTGTGGCCGCGCCGGGAACTCTGGTCATGCCCAGGAACAAGTGGGGCAAAACAGCCTGGGAGGTAAGATACTGACGTCTCAGGATCTCTTTGATGGCTTCTTGGCGTTATCTTACTCATCTCCAAGCAGATGTTTAAACAGGCTATAGGATCATTACCATTATAGAAGGAAAGCCAAGTACTAGTAAGTTGTCACCATGTGAACCGTCTACATATGTAAGTTGAAGTATCACCCCAATACATGGTTGGACATTGGGTCAGTCACTATAAAACATGACCACCATACCTCTGTCTTTGCCAGGTTGTCTGTGAGAGAAGTGAGTACACCTACACACCCATGTGGGTGCCCAACCACTACGGGGTCAACTGTCTTCAGATCAACGGTACTGTCGTCCACTGCACGGAAAAGGACTATCCCAAGAGTTGCCAGGTAGGAACTGATAAAAAACTGCTCATCTCATTTTCTATCGATACTTTGTACCACTCCAATGCAACTACCAGTAAAGTTCTAATATCAGTGTGCAATATTGTTCTTAATTTTCATCTATTGAATCCTAACCTTAGTAAATGACTTCAATCAGTACCTTATTAACAGGCACTGAATATGTTAATGAACAATTTTTCAATCTTGATGTTTTTAAACCCCATTACAGGTGTTTGCAGAGACGTTAGGGGGTGACTACAGGCTGATCCAGCGGTCTATCGGGGAGCTGGGGAAAGTGGAAGCTGGTCTGACCTGCTGCTCTGTTCTCTTCTAGATCACTAGTCACATCTTTGCTTGAAACTTCATCTGTGTTGGTAACAATTATTCAGAAGCTAAGTTGAACGGTAATTTCCAATATAGAAAAAATGGACTTCCAATCCAAACCTGTCAATGTCTAAATCCAGTCTTTGTTGTAAGAATGAGCATCCCATGTTCTTCCATGTTCATCCTCATATCTTCTGAACTTCTAGCTTCTCTGTTTAATAAGGCTTAACTTTTAGCCATAAGAGACTAACCTTATTCTTGGAAGTGAATAAAAATGTAACACTGCCAGTTATGTACAGACTTAGTCATTTCATTTTCTTTATTTCAAGCCTTCTGTTCTTGTAAACCTGTAAAATGATCTTATATTAGTGGTGATACATAGTTGTCAAGGTGATCATAAAAATCAATACTCAAAGTAAAAATCAACAATGAAGTGGTATAAAATAATCATCTTATGATGGGAAATAACTAGTCTGATTGTCTGACATGCTATATACAATGAGAAATCAACAACATGGACTATATATGAGCCAACCATCCTTGTCTGCAAGAATTTTGTTAAAGCAAAAGGAAATCAAACTATCAAACAACCAAACAAAATATACATTATTGAAAGCTATTCAGTGGACTGAAAACAGAGCTGTCGTACTTTGCTGTTGCTGTTAACACCTAATAATACACACATCTTTGCCAGTCATCATCTGCATCATGTTTGCATCTGTTACAGTAATTTTCTTAGCATTCAAAATGATTCTGTCAGTGTATCATGTCTAGACTTGGCCAGTAGAATCAATGCTTACGATCTGCAGCCTCCCTTCCTTTGATCTGACGTTAGGTTTAGAGGTAAAAGTTGTGTAGCACCGTAGTTCTTAGTCTCTTTAGCTGGCTTGTGAATTGCTGAAGTAGACTATCTAACCCATGTGTCCAATTGTCATGCTTGTTTAGTCTTTCAATGATCAGTCGCAGCTTACAGCAAAATTAAGTCTCCTGGTAAAAACAAAATTTCTGGTAACTTTTTGAGTATAAAGTCTTTAAGTTAGCACTAAATAAAAACAAATGGTAAATTTTTGACTGGACATTTCTGGACCAATGATCCAACAGAAAAAGGACTGATAAAAAATAAAATAAAACTTAAAATGTGTCTGTTTGCCATCCTTATAGTATCCCTCCCAAGAATATTTTTGCTCTGTTTTGGTTGTTCAAGAATGTTTCTTAAGTAACTAATACACACTTAAGATATCTTAACTAAGAAAGTGTTTGCCCCTAGCAGTAGGCAAGGTAGTGTATTTACGGGACGTCTCCAGGTTTTCTCCTCTGTCTGCTGTACTTGGCGCAGCTGAGGCAGCAGAACTGCCTGTAGTAGTCATTGTTATCACAGAAACCAAACCGAGCGATCAGCTCACAGTTGGCCAGCTCTGTGTTGTCTACGCACGTCTCGCTGATTTGTTGTTCTGTAACGGAGTAAGGAAGACAATTACTGAGAACTGCTTTTCTCAAGGGCACAAAATTTACCAGGAACGCCAGCAATCAAACCCTGCCATTGACACCACAATGCAGATTTCTACAGGAGTGAGTGTTACAATGAAACATCTTACCTTCCACCATGACCCAGGCGCTGGATGTGATTGCTGCCCTGCCGTTGGACACGATGCAGGTGTACCGTCCGCTGTCCTCCATGACGACCGGGCTGATCTGCAGGTCTCCGTTGGCCACGAACTGCGTCCTGTCCTCGGGCAGCGGCCCCTCCTCCTTCAGCCAGCTGACCTGGGGCATTGGCGTGCCCGAGGCGCGGCAGATCAGGATCAGGGTCTCCCCCTCCACGATGGTCGCATTTTTGGGCCGCGTGGTGATCTCAAGCCCAACTGCAATCAGTTAAAGAAGTTCACAAATTTGTCAAAAGATGGTCAAATGGAAAAAAGGTCATGGGAGGTTCTCAACCTCTTGTTATGTTTCTTTATCATTTAGAATGCTGAATTGAGAAATTTGTGACATGCAGACTTAACTACTTGATGCCAACAAACAAAAAATTCTGGGCTCCAACTGGTACCACTTCTAATTATTCAAGATCAGTCTCCTGGTTTAAACGTTAACAGTCACAAGCTCTTGGGGTAGGGCCCAATCAGCCTGACAGCAAGAGATTCTGTAACCCCCTCACCGTCTACGTCCAGATAGACGACTCTCTTCTGCAGGTCGCCGATGCCGTTGTTAGCGGTGCAGGTGTACTCGCCAGCGTCGCTCATGGACGTGGCCTCGATCTCCAGCGAGTTGTTGGGCAGCTGGAACATCCTGGGGACGTCTCCTGGCAGCAGGGCACCGCTCTTCTCCCAGATAACCTACCAGGGGGACAGTGTTGATCTTTGTACACTCTACTAAACAACCAGCACGTTAACACTTGCTGACATTTCAATGACAGTCTGTCACCCTTCCCCAGGGCAATAATGACTGGTTTTACCTTCACACAGCTGCCGCCATGTGTCACTGCTGCAGTGAGAAGAATGCAGTTCCAAATGTGATGGGAGTTTATATCCCTCATCAGCACTGGGAAACACGTATAGCTGCAGTGATTTATAGATTTAAAATTACCTGGAAACGATATCAAACTCTTTTATGTCATCTGAGGTCATATAATATGTGTATGTGTGTGCATGTATTTTGCAGTACAATCTGTAACATGGGTGAAATAGCGAGAAGTCTACCTGGGGTCTGGGGATTCCCTCTACCCTACAGTCCAGCCTGGTGGTTTCACCCACACGGGACATGTAGCTGGTTTGGTCAGGGATGATGGCAGCTGGAACTGGACGATAAAAAATGAAATGATGGTAATCACTCATCATCATACATCAGAAACATCATTACGTAAGACCTGGTTAAACTGTAGAAGCTTCTTAAGACTAAGGCATGAACTGAAAGGAATTTTTGCACTAGGGTAATTTCATAGGATGTTATAAAAGTGTGACCTCCCTTTACAAAATGTGTGGTTACCAACCTTGCACATTGAGCTGGATGTCCTTAGTCCTGGGCGTGCTGAAGCCGTTAGTGACCAGACAGGTGTACGTCCCACTGTCTGCCGGCTCCACCTGCACGACCTCCAGCACACCTCCGGCAAGGTCACGGAACCTGGTTAATGGACAAAAAATAGGAGGATTACTGGTAACTATAGGTAACATTAGTCCAGTACATTCAGACCTGAATCTGAACATGATCGAATGTTAGGAGCTACATTATAGACACGAGCCCTGTGTCTAAACAAGTTTGGCCAGTTGTTTATAAGTTGTACACGTAGCCAACTGTTTTGTTTTCACCGTTGAATCATTGTATCGTGATCTAGCTTTCTTTAGTCTAAAGGAATGGCAGCAGTTCCACCTTTGTGTGTTGTGGAGAATATCGTGTATGGTATGTGTTAGTTAGTACTTACCTGGGACTCTGCAGGAAGTCTGTGTGTGTGCGTGAGGACCAGGTGGTGGTGAGGGGCAGGTCAGACTCAGCGTGACAGGACAGGGTCACCGTGCTGCCTGGACGGGTGTTGATGATGCTGGGACCAAGGATCTCTCCTAGCTCTGATTGAACACAAAAACATGTTCTTTTTGATAAAAAAACAAATAACATGTCTTTCACAAATTATGCTAAGGTGTCTGAGACTACTACTGCAGTTGTGATGCACCTGTACATGACATAGAAGGATATGAAATATGTGCTACTGTAACATCAACTATTCCTCAACAAATAGAAATCATTCATAGACTGAACCATTGTTTCAAACGACGACTTTGGATACAGATAATGAGATATACTCATGTACATCTCCTCTGTTCCAACAGAAGATACATAGATAGCAAAGCAAAGAAGCTTGATATGATTTTTATGATACATTCTAGTTGTACAGTGCTAGTGTGTGACAGAGGATATCTGCTGACCGTTGATGGCGTGACATCCCTCCTTGTCCGGCCCCAGTGCGTAGGTAATGCCGTCCTGACAGCAGCCCCACTCTGATGACCCACACAACAGCTCCACATCACTGTCATCCCGGCTGCCCTGGACAGACGGGGGCGCATCTGTCACATAGATAGTCAGGTCTCCTGGAGTAGTAGAACATAACAAATCATCCACATTTATTTAGACTAGAGCTACATTGTAATAAAAGTATGTTTAGAGGCATGTAAACAGTAGATTTAGTTATAGTAGGGAATAGGCTTTTTATCTCTTTCCTCATTCAACATACTGCATTCAGCCCTTAGGGACAGGAGTATGGATAAAGATTTCATTGAAGGGACTTTTGATGACTACAAGTGCGAACTACAATCATGTCATCTAAAAAAAGCAACGTCCTGTTATACCAACAGAAGTTACTGAGTTACATGTAAGTTAACATGTCTAACTCCAGTACTGTACCTGGACCAGCACCACAGGCCTGCCGACACTGCTGCAGGGTGTCAAAGTTGTTGGCATTTCCTCTGCAGCCTCCATAGATGAACTCTGTGCACAGTTTGGTGAAGGAGTCATAGTACCATCTCCTCTTGGACATCCTACATGGGCCGATCTTCATGGGCAAGTTGCAGACATCTGAACAAGGCAGATAATTTGACACATTCAGATTGTTTTGTGGATTAGGTTCTAAACAACTTGAAAGCAACATGACTGTTTTACTGAGAGCTAGGATGTTTTATCTTGATATAACGTCCTTGCTCAGAGGCATCTGTAAAAGTCTAAGCTTAATGTAAGTAAAAGATGACTATAACTAAATGGTGGAACTGTTGCAGAAGCCTGTGGAGAAACTTCTTATGTTGGCCAACATGTTCAGTACATTTTGTACTTAAACAGATATAAACTCTCTTCCAGACTACACTTGTATCAATATCATCCACAGTTGAAAATAAATAAAACATTTGAAAAGTGCATATATTTATGTGGGCAGCAGACATATTCTGTAAGCTGCAGATAAAGTTAGTGCAGCAGCAGACTAATGAGCAGGCAGCATCTGATGGAAGCAGGATGAACTGGGGTATCATCTTCCTGTTACTGTTAGCCTTGCTTTCATAAACATGCTATTGGCTACGTTCAAGTTGTTGCATCAGGGGCACATAGGGATGACAGTCTAACCCAGTTCCTGGCAACTTCGTGCTCTGTGCACAATTTAGCCTCAAGCTGATGCAATTCATCTTGGGGAACTGTGGACCGTTAAAGCTAAATGGAAAGAAGGCCCAGCTGAAGTTAGCCTGTAAAATGTTAAGCATTGTGCTGTGATGTACAGCAGCAGCATTATTTAGCTACAACAGCAGCAGCAGGCCATGGAAGCAGCAGTCCTTGCAGTTATAGATGGAGGGCCAGTCACCTGACTTCCTTGTATCTTCAGAAACCACAGTAGGAACAGGCTGGAAAAGATCATCCTCATACTCATAGAACGGATCTGTACAGATAGGATATCAGAAATCAACATGGACACTGTTGTGCTAACTTTTCAGCATACCATGCACCAAGTTGGAGTTCACTACTAACTAAAATCAAACCAAAGACCATATTGTATTGTACATGGCAAACAATGTCCCGTCCTTGGCACCCTGTTAGACAGAGCAGGCGAATGGGATAATCAAAGGAAAACAATCTACATGAATCACTCACAGATATTACAACTATGACAACTATAGCCTGAGGTCTAAGGTATAAGGCTGCTGTGTGCCATGATCTGTTATATAAGACATAAGGAAAGCTAACAGATCTACCTGTACATGTACATGTATGGGGGAGGGGCTATAGCTAGTGGAACATGGAGACTTACTGTTCTCATCTGGTGAACCTGAACCATCAGTAAATATGGGGGATTGAGTCACATCCTCAAGCACTGTGTGGATGTGAATGTGTGGATAAGTTCTCACATGTGACAATGTCAGAGTATTGGTTCTCCAAAAAAAAAAGGATAACTCCTAATCAAGTAGAATGTGTAAATAAAAAAAAACTGCCAAAACATTGAATAAAAGATTATCTATTTCAACTTGTACATGTTTAGGATCTGATGCATTGGTTGGGTAACAAAATAAGCAAAACATTTCGTTGCTATATCTCCCACAAAGTATAGAGTATGTGAGCTGATGTACAGTCAGGAAAACCTCCGTACCTTCATTGTTGGTGACCTCTGTGACCTCTGGCCCTCCGCAGGTCGACTGGCAGTCCTGGAAGGACTCAAACCTGTTTTCGTTTCCGCGACAACCGCCATACAGGAACTTGGTGCAGCGCCCCTCGTCCCTGTCGAAGTACCATCTGGGGATGGAGCCCCGGCATGACCCGGGGGCGCGGGGAAGGTCACAGATGATGGAGGCTGTAGGGAAAACACACAACACACAGGGAACCATTAACATGTCTCCATGCAACAAGTAGAGAATATTCTCCAAGTATGCAGTTGTAATTAGACCTGTAGGTATGATTCAGCGGAGCAATCAACCAGCATTTGCCTCGGACCACATCTTCAGACAATGAAAGAAAGCTAGTACAAGTAAGATGATTCAATCTTCATACAAAAATAAGATTTTTTGCTAGGGTGCAGATCTACATATAATTAAATAGGGCAAACTTCACTTGTATCAGACAGTATTTGATACACAGGTGCTGATGTTGGAGCTTTGCACCAGGCAGGGAGGGAGGTGAGTCCTGGTGAGACATTTAGAACACAGGTGTGTGTGTGGGGGTGGGGGGGGGGGTTGTCAGCATCAGTTAGAGCAAACACTAGTACCGTAGTACTTTCCCTACAGAAGCTAAAGCCACCCTTTGATCCATGGACCTAGTACTGTAAATCCCAAAACCTAATTTTAGGTGGTTTTGGTTTTGTGGTGACCTTGTGATTTAGCTGATTTGCATTTTCAATGTATTCAACTACTGTGCAACTTAATTGTTTGAACTGCGAACAGAAAGCTCCTGGAACACCAGTCCTTTCTCCTCCAACCATGAACTAAATCCCCGCAAACATAAAATGAATTTACAGTACTGAGGGCCAGCGCAGCACCTGGAAGCCATTTCCAGTGACCCCCACTGAGCCTGAGGGTGTGGAGACAAATAAGCCTTGACAATCAATGTGTCAACAAACTGTGGGTGTCCACAGGAGGTGACAGCCTCTTTATCCATCCAGCTTCTGTTCCATGTAGGTGGTTCTAACCTTTAGTCCATTGTGATTTCTCGGTCACATAATGGCTACTGGAAACAAACCATTTAGGAAACCCTCAAAGAGTCCAAAAAATTTCATTTCCATAGTCAGGATGAAAAAAAGGTCTGGCATTAAGGTCTCATTCCGGTATTCTTCCGCGTGGGTACTCTAAAGTAGATCGTACTAAAAATGAAATGCGTGTATGGATGTGTGTTTATATCCGCCAGAAATTGCATTTTAGCTAAGTCAGTTGGCGTAAACCGCTTGTGATATGAGAGGTTGTTTGTATGTGCTAAAATTAGTGGGTAAGTGTTGACATCCGCGTGACAGGTCGGATGTTTACACGCTGTTGTGATGGGTAATGCGGTCAGGAGGTAGCAGCGCTGGAGGACCTCTGGCGGAGAGTGGCCAAGTGCAGTTTATAAATAAATAAAAAGAGATTGTTGGGTTAGATCTGGTTGGGAATTTTTTGACGTAATGTAGGGCCATTGTGCTCAAAATTGATTGGATAGACTAGATGGCTGTCATTCAAATTATTGGGTTTTGGCCTATGTAAAGTTACGTATTTTGCCATAGGCGGCTATAGTTAACAAAAACTCAAGAATGGGACCTTAATAGAAATGAAAAATATTCACCAAAAATCAACGATTAGTGCTAAGGTCCCAATTTTTGAACAATGTTTGCCCAGGATTTAATGTACAATTTTTCAGCGAACGTTGCATTGCGTAACCACGCCCGTTGCCATGGCAACGGACGAGGCCAGTTCTGCGGGGGTTGATGCACACCGTCCTTTCATCTTACTCCGTTTTACAAAGATTTACAGTCAAATAACGTTTTGAAAAGCTGACATAGTCAATGATACATACACTAAAGATATTTCCCTGACTACCAGTGTTGCGAAAGACGTCTATCAAGCAAGGACTGACAAGCGCAAGCTTGCAAATTTTATGGAAATCGTGTAAACCCAAATTCACGGACAGCACATGTAAATCTTAGAAGCGTCGATTACGGATATTAGATCTCCATATGAAATTGTGGCTAGAGTTAAGGAACCACAGAACAGGAAAAGATTCAAATATTATATATATGTGCACTTTGCTTTCAGGAAAAGCGTCAAATGCAAGTCAATCCCACGCGCTACGACTTGTTTAAACAACCTTGCCAGCAGCCTGACTGTCCACCCACCTAATATCGCAAGCCTGACAAGTAGGGTTATCTGATTACACCCCAAAGTAATACCCATTACGTGGCTTGATTAACCTGGCCGAAATTTGTGCCATTGTTACCCCCCCCCCATACACACGCACGGATGCACGCATTGAGTCTGAGGGGCACTCCAGCCCCCCCCCCCGCCACTTTTGGGCGGTGGATCCTTACCCTGCCCCCCTCCCCCAACTAACGGAAAAACACCCGACACGTTACAGCTGAGGTGAATTTGTATCCCCCAGACTTCCTAGACTGCAAAATCATAAAATATTTCGTGGATTTCTACTTAGGTGAGAATGGATATATTATGTCAAAGCATTACTGTAACTTTCATTGGAAAAGTTTCTGCTTTGCTCTGTGCTAAGAACGCTGTCTGGAATTCCCCTTCCTTTTCTGAGTGATAGTTTACGGTCAATTTTGGCCTCTTTTGCCTTCATTCTTCTCAACTAGTAGAAAAGGGTACTCTTGACTGAAGTTGCCTCGCATTTTTGTAAGCCAGGATCTTGTGTCACCTCTATAAACCACTCCCCATTCCCGCCTAGGCTGACTTTTAGAGTGCGCTAGATGCACTATCAGCAGCATGTCGCTTATTTCTTCTTACCTCGGGTTCAAATTTTAAGCAAGTTTATATGTTTGGCTTTACTGTTGTTTGTGTCATGTCGATGTCTTTGCTTTCATGGGCTTGTCCTGATGCGACATGCACCTGAATGTCGCTACTGATGCTATGCCTCATTTGCCAGCATACACGAAATGATCAGCATCGTTCAGATCTATCTGTTGCTGTCTACCAAGGTTTACATGTAAACAATCTCATACAGAACACATTAATCTACCCAACGGTACGAAAAAAACATTAATTACCGTTTCCGACACGTCATAAGGGTAATTAAAGATATATGTTGTACTTTTTCTTCAAACTGCCAGGTGGCGCTGCTCATATCAAAATTTTGACGCAACTTCATTGACCCGTTGCTTGGTAACGGAGTGACGTGAGACAAAATCTTTTAAGAGGTTGTTAGGGGATGTTTATTCTTTCATTTAAGACACAATCTTAATAATCAATGGTTATTAAGGTCTCATTCCGGTATTCTTCCGCGTGGGTACTCTAAAGTAGATCGTACTAAAAATGAAATGCGTGTATGGATGTGTGTTTATATCCGCCAGAAATTGCATTTTAGCTAAGTCAGTTGGCGTAAACCGCTTGTGATATGAGAGGTTGTTTGTATGTGCTAAAATTAGTGGGTAAGTGTTGACATCCGCGCGACAGGTCGGATGTTTACACGCTGTTGTGATGGGTAATGCGGTCAGGAGGTAGCAGCGCTGGAGGACCTCTGGCGGAGAGTGGCCAAGTGCAGTTTATAAATAAATAAAAAGAGATTGTTGGGTTAGATCTGGTTGGGAATTTTTTGACGTAATGTAGGGCCATTGTGCTCAAAATTGATTGGATAGACTAGATGGCTGTCATTCAAATTATTGGGTTTTGGCCTATGTAAAGTTACGTATTTTGCCATAGGCGGCTATAGTTAACAAAAACTCAAGAATGGGACCTTAAATGAGGAGCATTTTAGAGCATTTTAGAGCACTGAAATCATACTGTTCCTGTATGGTTATGTTTGCAGTTCCCTAAGATCAAGGCTCAAGTTCGAAGGCGTCAAGCTGCTATGGTCCTGACCTTGTGTACTCCAGTACTTTTATAGGGGGAGGTTTCGCATGGTTCAAAGACAGCTGCCATTACCATGCCTGGAGAGGAGGTGGGAGGGGCAGCCACAGGTCAAGGTGACCTAATTACCCAGAAACACCATGGGCTCTACTCTGTGAGGCTAAACTATACAACACCTGGAGTTTTCTTTAATTTTTATCCTCTTTGGGTAAAAGTTTATCTTGTTACTCTAGATAGACATGTGGTACTAAAATGATGTATTGTTGAGTGGTGGACTGACTGAAACAACTTTAGGGCTCAATTGCCATTTGACTTGTAGTGCATATGTAGATGCGATCGGTTTGATTTATTTCCTTACCATCCCCACCACACAGGTCCACGCAGTCCTTCAAGGAGGAGAACCTGTTCTGGTTCCCCTGGCAACCACCGTACACAAACTCCTTGCACTCCTGGGTCGACTGTTCGTAGTACCAGTTGCGGAAGGCACCGTAACACGGCCGGGTCGGCAGGCTGTACACAGATCACTGCAAGCCAGCGGAAATAACAAACACCATCAAACTTCATTCCAGCACAAAACATTACAGCATGAAACTTTCCACTGTGCTGCAGACTTCTTCAACAGACCAGACAACTACTGAAGATCACACAAAACATAAGCCGTCAGCAAGTGGTCATAAGTGCATATCTGACAAATTATATTTGAGGTACTTGTCACAGAATAAAAGAGGCTTTAGATGCACTAAAAAGGAAAGCAACCAAAAAATCCAGAAAGCATCATTTCTACACAGAATACTGGTATCCTTTTGTCCAAGTACAGGAGTTTACACAACGGAATAACAGAAGAAGCTGACGACATTACCCTCTTTTGGGTTAAGTTGACAGGCATTCTGGACACTCCTGCTGGCTCTTGAACCTGTTGCCGTTCCCCCCACACGATCCATACCAAAACTGTGTGCAGCTTTGGGTGTTGCTGTCATAGTACCAAGCCTCTTCCCACTGGGAACAGGGACCCATGTCTCTGGGGAGCTGGCAAATGTCAACTTCTACAGGGAACAACAAAAGAGACAGACTGAAACACATTGGTCATGTTGTAACACTAACAGGCTGAAAAGGGACCCAGTATATTACATCCTAAAGCATCATAGTCCATGTGGTTGCAAGTTTGTTAAAGAAAGGGCCATTAGAAATCAACTTACACAACTACTTACAAGTACATGCTTTACATTTTGATACTGGAAATCAACAAGATTAACTTGACAGATACATGCAATCATGTCTAACTCCCACAAGACTGGGAACAGCAAATGTTAATATTCCATTTATTGGCTTCCATATTGAACTGATGAAGAGCTAGCTTTGATAACAAAGTATAATGTTTGGGTGATGAGGAAACAAGCAGCCCACCTGGACAGTCTTCATCCTGAGGTCCTGCAGGTGTCTCTCCATCTGCACAGCAGCCGAACTCGGTGGTCCAGCAGGGCTTCTCCCCCTCACAGCCCTGATGGTTCAGTCCAGAGGCAGCGGTCACGCCGTCGGGACAACACCCAAACGTCATCTGGTCGCAGGGGATGATGACGTTACTGTGCTGTTCGTCAGGGCAGCCCTCGTTAAATGGTCCTGTGGCTGCTGAAATGCCGTCAGGGCAGCAGCCGTGTTCTGTGTCTGTACAATCTTCTATGGGGAGGGAAAAAAGAAAGATCTTCTGATATCCAGTATTGGTTCTGGTTGGTTGGTTAATTCATACATCAAACTTAATCTTACAACAGTGTACTAACACTTGCTGTCTTTGTCTATTGAGGTCTGTTGCATTTTTTTCAGCTTAAAAATTGATGTCAGATTTTTTGGCACAAACCTGAGCATCCATGATTGTCGGGACCCTGAGCTGGTCTTTTCCCGTCTGGGCAGCACCCAAACTCCGACCCCTCACACCCCAGAGGTGGGCAGCCTGCCTTGAAGGGTCCCTCTGCAGCAGTGAACCCGTCCATGCAGCAGCCAAACTCAGAGAAGCCACAGCCGTCTATGACTTGTGAAGGACCAGACCCATCTGTGCCAAGCCTGGGTGCTTCAGCTGGAAAACAGAATGACTTCATTACACCTGCATCAATTAACACTACATGGGTAGCACTGTTCAAAATATACAAACTAACAGATAATGGATCAAAAGGAAGCCTAAGAAAAAGATGCAAAGACAGCATAATAGAAGACAGCAAAGAGACCCAAACGAAGTACAGAATGGGCAGACTGACACAGGCATACTTGACAAGGAGACAGTCTTCGAGCACTCAGAAGACTGGAAGAAATGATGCTCTCAACTGACAGGCTCTAAGTCTTAACTATATAGGGCTTTTAAAAGGTTTAAGGAGTAAGTGTAGCAAAGTGCTGATATGAAGTATCCTGCATGCATGCAATAAACAAGAATCACTAGAAAATGACTAAGACCAGCCAAAGACAGTGATGACAGACCTTGTGTGCATGGGATGACATTACAGATCCCGGTGTCATCAGGCCTGTTCCCTGCATCACAGTTGGACTGGTCGACGAGCCTTCCATCAGAGAAGCACATGACCTCCCTTCTCCTGGTACCACCATCACACAGCTGCGAGCACTACAGGTGGAGACAGAATGAACAGTACAACTGTCTGGCTCGGCAGGATAACCATCTAATGTTTAAGTATCATAGATCAGTGATTGAACTTACCTCAAAAATACGCAAATAACACTAATATATACCATACATTTCTTTTCAGAAAAAAATTTATCAGTAAGAAGTAAATTGGCTTTCAAAATTAGATCGTTTCAATGGTTATTGACTAAGCAAAACGTATTGTAAATCAATTCTGATTCCAGAAGTATTACACAAAGTAGAAATTGCTTTCAGATGATTCTTTGCACGGCCAACCAAAATCAAACACATTCTTAGTGTAATATCAATACATGTCTATCACATGCAATGACAACCATTACCCTTTGATGCAGGAGGTCACAGATGTTCCAGAACTTGTATAAATGTTATCCCAAGCTGTCAAATCAAGGTGCCCCCATTTAGCCTGGGGCGATGACAGGCTTGTGTTTTTTCTTACCAAGACAAATATGCCATACCTTACTCCAGGGTCCAGCAAACCACATGGCATGGCACTCCTTGACCTTGCACGACCTCATGCTGTCAAACCTGCCGTCCTGGGAGCACTGCTCCTCCTGCAGCAGCTGCAGGGAGTTCCCCACTAGGGCAGCACACATCACCATCCTGGTCTGTACACCATCCCCACACTCAGCTGAACACTGAAACATTACAACAGTACTGTCAGGATTCTGTATGCTGGGGATGTTGTACCTCACTGGCTGACAGATTCTAAAGGTAGGGTCTGTTTGTTGTTTGTTTTGCATAACCAATGAACCATCTTTAGGCATAACACACAAGTTTTGTGTACGAGTTGCACAAGACCAGACTGTAAGATTTAACGCATCCACACCAGAATGAACCAGGCCCTACTATTTTCGACAAGTGTGGTTGCATCTTTATTGTGCCTGAGGTGTGGCTCTCCTCAAACACTGGCTCAATCCAATATCTAAATTTTGGCCAAACATAGGGTGGGGACCCTCTGAAACACTATTTCATGCATACTGAGGGGTAAATTTCATTTCATTGCTTCATTAGAATCATCATTAACATGATGTGGTGAAAATGTCTGACCTTGCTCCACTGGGAGGCGTGCCACTGTGGGAGACACTCCTGTGAGGCCGCACACTTCTTCATCTTGTCTGGTTTGCGGTAGGCGTCGCACATCTCCTCAGGATACAGGTGTCCGTCCTGGCTGGAGCAGTACAGGCTGCGGGAGGACATGCCCTCATCACACGAGTCAGTACACTGGAAAACAATGTTAGCCCTTTAAGTCAGCCTGTATACATGTATCATGAAGCCTTCCGGTTATGGTCACTATGCATGTGATGAAGATGATGATCATTGTACAGGCTGCAGAAAGTCCAGGCCTGAAGCTTTACTGCTCTTCCTATGGTCACTAAGCATGAGATAAAATAGGGTGACCTTTTTACACTGCTTGAATTTTCTACATTATCATCTGTGTATGTGTGAATTATGACTGAATGTATGACTGTAGACACAGTTACAATGTTATATGAGCAAAAGGTCGTCATGAGGGCATTTGACCAAATGAATTTAAAATATAGATAAGAATTTATCAATGTCAAAACAACTATATATAATCCTCTTTCACTGCAACAACAAAAACGTATTGACTTGGTATATGAGGTCACACAAGAGTTAGCCCTTGTAGCTTTCCCAGTGTTTACCTCTGTCCACTCAGACACCATCCACTCCACCCCCTGGCAGGGTCCTGAGTTACACGGTTTCTCTGTCTCAGGTTTGGACTCAGGGTCACAGCGGTTCACCTCGTTAGGAGCAGCACAGGTCACCTCACGAGTCTGCTTCCCAAAACCACACACACGAGAACACTGGTGGGGAAATATGCAACAGTGATGGTTACAGAATTCTTTCCACGTCACTAAGACAGTCTCACCGATTTACATGTGAATTTCATTGTGCTTCGCAAATATTTTTTTAAACGTATCATCTGAAGGAGTTTGTACTGTAACAGTTGTATGTTGAGGAAATTGTCACAAATATACTCAGTCCAGTATCAATTCGATGGCTACCCTTTTTGTTTAAATATCAACCTTAATAATTCAAAGGTAGTGAGATATAGGCTACTTATCATAAAAAATAAAATCAAACTTTATTGCACAAAAATTGTACCAGGACTGGTACAATGTATGGCAAGTTCTTGAGTGGTTCCAAATGACATAAATCAGATCTCTGTGGGGCATGAGAACAACTAACACACGATTTAAGTATTATAAACAGAATAACAGTAATATCTAACCTGTGACCACTCGCCAACCTTCCATTCAGGACACTCGTGCAGGTTACACTGTTGTTTGAAGCCTGGTTTGGACCCGATGCTCTGTTTACAGACCGTGTCATCCACATGCTCAGGAATCCCATGTCTCAAGGCCTTCAGATATACATGTAAGTAGTCATGTTAGACAAGGAATGGGGCATTGTTATAACCTCCAAGCAGCTAGGGTAGAAATCATGAAATTTTCAGGGATTTGCAGCTGGTTATACAAACCTGTTCACAGAACACCAGTCTTGTTTGGAAGCCTCCTTCACAGGACTTGGAGCAGGGACCCCACTCTCCTATGTACCATCTAGGGAACAACAACAAACATTAGCATGAAAGTTCATCTGTGTTGGTACAAATCATTATGAAATAAAGACTAAACTGTACCTTCCAACACTTTTCCTCCCATCCAGTTGTCTGGAAAATTCTAATAAATAAATAAATAAATAAATAGGTATAGAATTGGGACTTACCCCAAATTTTCGGTTGACTCCATCAACCTTGTTCACAGAATGGACCCGTCTACTCTTGGAACGTGACGTCAGAGACACGTGACCGTAGTAGCGGGTCATACGTGCCAGATAACTTGTGTCTCTGACGTCACGTTCCAAGAGTAGACAGGTCCATTCCGTGAACAAGGTCATTGGAGTCAACCGAAAACTTGAGGTAAGTCCCAATTCTATACCTAGTGTTGGAAGGTACAGTTTAGTCTTTATTTCATAACAACAAACATTATTGATCACAATCTGCACAAAAACAAAGCAAGGCATGGAAACCCAATCCCAACTGCACTCTCCTTGGTGCTGAAGTGCTATCCATTGAAGTGCCTTTAGGTAAGACCACATGTGATCACACTCACCATATCTGCCAGTTTCTGTCATTTGATGCTACTCACCTGGGCTGACATGGGTGTGAGTTACATGTCCTGTTGTTGGGAGGCTGCTGGCTGGGGGGACACTGGTAGTCAAATGCTACCTGATTCCCTCTGGAGCAGGACACACTCCTCAACTGGTATCCTAGAGAGCAACAATATCAACATGACAGGAAGAGTGGATACACTGTATATCAGTGTAACAGTCAGGAAAATGAAGATGAAAGATTTGGAGTGGAGAATGATTCAATATGTTATTGTCATCATTATCCATCCATGCAAGTTCACCCCCATACAAATGTACATCTCTGTCATTCATATTTTCAGTCAGATCCTCTCCAACCAACTTTGTTTCAGGCATTATTTAGGGTCACACAAGGACATCCAACTCTTTCTATAACCACTAATTAGAATAAAAGATTCAAATTATTCAACCATAAGGTCATTAGATGGAAAAGCTATACATTAAAAAAAATTATTGATCTGACCTGGCAACAGACCGTTAATTTTGGAGAAGACTAGTGGTCAACTTTTAAAAACAAATTAGGAAGGAACCTACCTCCCCCACAAGGTGTACTACACTCTCCCCATGACCCATATATCCATGTGAAGTTGTGCTGTGTGGGGTCCTGGATGTCCTTAGGGATGTAGTACTCATACTTCACACCGTGGTTCTTCTCCTGGGTGATCAGCTGACATAGAAAAAGAAAGAGGAAATAATTCAAGGGAAGTTTTATATGATGACTATTTGGTATCATAACACATGACTCTACCTTTAGGAAGTGTTTTTGTGTACAGTTGCAGTCACGCAAAATGGTCAGTAACTGTTGACGACCCTGCTGTAAGTCATTCTGGTCTGCCCAAAATACAGCTAAACCTGAACAGCACTTTGACAGCACGTTTCCATCTGCAACTTGAATATATCAACACAACACTTCATTTCTGACCTTCTTTGGGAACCTTTTGAATAACTAGCTTTACACTCTCCGAAAATCATGATAATTTCACAGCCATTATTGGTGTAGAAAAATCATTCAAACAAACTCACATCGATGTACAGTGGCTCAGTGATTGGTCCCAGAGCTCGGATGATCTCAGGTTCCCTGTAGGCTTCAGTCTTCCTCTCATAGTGAACAATGGTTCCTGCCACAGTGAAGGGCTGGGCATAGTCAATGTGCCAGCCACCATTGATGTAATAATGTCCACTGGCATTTCTCACAGCTGGAGGAAAAGGAAAGTAAGATTCAGTCTGAATCATCTATGAATGGGATTCAGTGCTACCTCGTCTTAACAAACATCGCATCCACCATACATTGAAAATGTACAACTGTCTTCAAAAACAAATAATACAATGTAACCAATAGGTACTTTGTATACATTTCCATGAAATAGGTATGAGGTATGCACAGCCAGGACAGACTCCCAATTAAGTACAAGTTCTCACCCAGGAAGTTGTCCGAAGCTTTGAGCTCTTCAATCCTGATGTTAGTTGCAGTAGCAGGAATGACCAGGAACTGATTGTAACCTGTGAAGGAAACAAAACATATCTATGTACACAAGTTTTAAAAACCAACGGACCATACAATGACCAGTTAAAGGTCTCAACTAGTGTTAACATGTCAAGTGAGATTTAATACCAGTCCATGCATTTAGAAGACAGTTCCTATCAAGAAATCTAGTTCCATGAAATACCTGCATTGCACTGAAAAAAATTGGACATTTTACCTCTAACTGAACCTTAAAACTTGTAACATACCAACTGGAATGTTCCTGATGCTGAACAACCCTTTCACAGCCTTACAGCTGCTCCCATCTCCTCCACACTCACGACACTTGTCCTCCTGGGCATTAGACCCCAGCATGTAGTCACACCCTACACCCTGGAAGAGTGCAAATGTCACAAGTTATATACATTTCACATGCTATATCAAATATGGTTACCGTATCTGACAGGATTAGATAACATGGGGAATAACAAAGAGAAAACAATTGTCAATAGGTATTTTATGGTAGTTATCTGCAGTACACTGTGTCCTTGTTAGTGATTGTCTTACCTGACAGATGCCATCCACACAGACATCCAGACTGTCCAGGTCACATTTGGTTCCATCCACCACCTTCTCCTCGTGTCTGTAGTAGAAGTTCTCACCTTTAGGCATGCAGTTCAGCTCACATCTGTTAGGGGCTGAAGCACAAATTACATGCATTACTGTAAATACTGTTTAACTTTCAATATCACGGCTACTTCATGGCAATGGGCTTTAATGAGTCTGTGCTGACAACAGAAGACCCCTGGAAAACCTTTTCCCTCCAATTAGACCCACCAGGGAGACCTTGTACTGCTGCCCTGTACCACACCTGACCTTCCCACACACTCCACAGGGAGTACTGGGAAGTACAAAATGTTGTTCCAAGGAGGCTCCAGAGTCTCACCCTTGACTTGCCATTTACAACAATTAAAGGAATGACAACAGACAGCCTAGCCTGTGGAAAGCTGACACACACACACACACACAGGAATGTAACCGTCAAGTGAATCTGTGTAAAAGCTTTTCCAGTGACTGTGGCATGTTTTGTAAAACAAGTGTAGGTGTATAATTATGTGTTACATTCTTTGCCTGGTATCCAGTGGTTTCTCAACCATCTTTCTGTGGGCTGAAGGAATGTGACACCTACACCTACACTTGCCTTACAAAACATGCCACTGTAACAGGGTAATCACCAAAATCCGGAATCGTTAAAATCTTGTCTAAAGACATTTCAAAAGTAACTGTACAGCTCCTTGACTTTCAAAGCTTTCAAGGACCTCCTACTATACTAAGTAGTTTCAAGCCAATGTACTAGTATTCAACATGATTGACTCAAGTTAACAGTCTGGCCATGATTTCTTGCTACCAGTATCTCTCATCCATTTTTTTACAATAGTAATGTGTAACTATTTCAATTAGTCTGACCATGCTGGAAGTTAAGGGGATTGATTTCACTCAAAATAGGACTGCCTGCTTGAGTCAACATCACCCTCTTTTATCAGTCAATCGTGTGGCCTATCACAAACAGTTGGGACCAAACTGTCATCAACTGCCCAATAGCCAAGGGCAAATTTGCACTGTCAGCACACTGATACACAGTGCTCTTGGGCTCAAATTAAGCTAATAAATTTGTCTTTAAATTCCATTAACATGACCTGTAGCTCACAAAATGATCATCTGGTATCTGGAATGAAATCATGATAGGAGCATAGTCAACATCATTTTTAAGGCTTACATTTCTGTGTCTGAACAATGAGTTTTAGAACAAGTCCTCAATAGTATACTTTACACGATTGGTCATTTTGAGACTTTGTAATGGCAGATCTCTAGCCTTATATAAGCAAGACACATTTACATCCTTTATGCTTTGTTACAATTGTTTATGTCTGCGACAGAGCAAAACTACACATAAAAGTTCTCCTCTTATGAAAGATCTAAGGCACTGAAATAGACCAGATGGTAACATCTATCCTGAGCCATATTTGGACTTGACCTACCTAATGCAACTTGCATATGTAATTCAAGCAGTATCTGTTTTTTTCAAAACATCAAGTCCCACCAGAAGGTAGACAAACATATTACAGGATTCCGGAGGCTTTGCAGACTGTAACATGTCCTGATGCCATCTGCAATCATTGTAATTCCTGGCTTACAACACCAAAACCTCACACAAACAGATCATAAAAGATTAGTACAATATTGGTTTAAAGGCTTAAAATCCCAGTGGTAGCCTGATCTGTTGTTCCTTTGAAGTTGTATTTAAGGTTCTCACTAGCTCAGGAAACAGGGTGTTATTTTAAGGACTCTTCTTTGTTCCTTCTGCCCAGATCCAAAGCCACTTACAAACTCTCTGTTTGTCTGAGGACTAGCAATGTTGCAAAAGCTGGCGGAAGACGGTCACTGAAGGATGGTGAGATGAAATGTACTGATCCTATCATGGTATGAGTGGCATTTCCATCTCAAACTCTAGATGGTAGTCAGGAAGGCATCTTTTGTTCTTGTGCTTCCCTGGTTGTTCCCAGGTCCTTGAGACGTGCTGCTATGCACCTGTCACATTACTTAGGACCAGTACCGTAACATCTTAGCAGGCACATAATCCTCCTTGAGCTCACAGTCAGTTATGCTTGTCTTTGTTCCAGCACTTACCTGGCAAATTTGTTAAGTTTGATCAGTTCAAAATGGATTGATACTGTTTTATAAACCTTTTGTACCCGTACTTGGGAACTGAAAACACACTTTATGTTCCTGAAATTGAAAGTTATGCAATTGCTTGTACAGCCTTCATGTACAGTATAACAAAAAGAAAGAGTACAATATATCATATATGCCACACAAAAGTTTTCTTCAGTGTACTCAAAGGATACACTCCCAATCAGTGTAATACACGTGATCCCAGATCAAGCAGTGAGGTAAAAGTTATGGTCATTATACAGAGTTACTAGAAACACATCTGTCTCACACATGTATGGTCCTCTACTTCTAACCATCATTACACGCAATCAAATAGCCACTAACGAAGGCCAAAGGTGATTACTGCTATTCTGACGAGTCTTCACGAGTTGATTATGAGAACCATAAATGCTCAAAAGCCACTGTTATTATTGGGCAGTTCTTTGAACCGTGTTTAGCCCCAAGCAACAGCCAAACAAAACAGAGGGAGGGGACATTGTATATGCCACCTCTAATGCTCAAATGTTGGACTGACTGGTTTTAAGTCAAATTAGGATCTTTATCCATCACTGACAAAGTGGCAGATTTCTGCTGAGACCATCTCCATGGTACAGGCCTGCCTGTTGGCTAGGAAAATGTTGACCTACATCTGTCAATGAAAAGTTGGGACTTACTAATCTCAAAGTCAAAGCAGATGTAGGGTCCAGGTCAGTGATTTATGCATATTTTTTAGGCTTTTCACATCTCTTTCTAGTGGAAGGGAAGGGGAAGGAGAGAAAACACAAAAGAGGTATACATAAGAGTAAAAACAAGTAAAACATTGACCTGGACCCAACATCTGCTACGAGATTAAAGACTTACCTCCCAAATAGGGGACCCACGTGAAGAACCTCCCTTCAAATGCCACATCATCGTACTGGGAGCACTGCTCCGCACGGAACTCTTTAGAACCCTCTGGACAGTCCTTCAAGAGAACAGGAAGATAAGAAACTGGCATTAACTTGCAGATGTACCAGCTAACACAACAGGAATCATGGTTAAGCCTTTCAAGGTCATGTAACATTAAACTTGGTCTGGCATTGCTTACAATGTAACTTCGTGGGGAAGATGAAGAAGGCAAACCTTCTTTTAAAATATAAAAAATGACAATGTCATGTGGCTCCCCAATGCTGTGTTTCTTGCAGAAAAACCAAGTTTGCAGTGTGAAAGATGCCAGGTAGCGTATCCTATATTGTTGCTGAACTTACATTTGCCTTCTCAACCTACTTGTTTTTGCTTCAAGTGTTCACAATGATTAACTGTGGTTAGGGCAATGAACTCAGTTTATGAGACATTTTCTCTGTAAGTGAAGTCATTTACAACAAAGTCAGACTTTGCACAAGGAACGTGAGTCCTCACCCCTACAAAGAATGCAGATTTTATTCACACTGGACAAATAAATATGAAACTTATCCTTTTATGTGACATAGGATCAGCATGCACTGGAAACATCTTGTGTATGCTTTTCCCATTGGCAGACATGTCCAAACAAACAGCACACAGATATACACACGCCTGAAGGGATAATTTGCACTGCTATTTGTGTGGGCTCTCTTTAGTAGAAACAGACATTTGTTTAGCAAACACCAACTTCCAACCCTGCATCCGCTAGACTGACTTGAAGGTTCTTCTAATCACCTCAAGTAATCTCATTTGTTCTGCACATTCTTACATACGGGGATGGGAATGAATATTTACTGTAACATAGCCTTCTGGCACTGTATTGTTGGATCAGTACCCTTCTGCCGTCAGGTCCCTCCATGAGTGCCTCTGAAGAGGTTTCTGAGTACATATTCTACAGTCAGACCAAAACATTTGCACAGCCACCAGACTGTGGCTACATGTGGAGCATGCCATCTGATGGCACAGACTAATGAAGACACGCTGGATGGACCAAATATTTGCCAAACTTCAAAGACAGACAAAAAGTTTTGTAATTAGCAAGAGCAATAGCCATGAATACTACCTACAGGAAGGGAATCTTGTGAACGGGGAAAAGTCATCCTTGCTGGACAAAATTAGATGGTCACATTCATTTCTTTTCAGCAATAGCAAAGACTACAACATACGATGTTGAAACATTATCATTTGTCCGTACCTGTATATTGCAGGACCTGTAATTCCTCCTAGGTCCCACACAGTTGTCTCCTCCATCTGACCTGAAAGATTGAGATTCAATCAATGAATCAATCAATCAATTAATCAACCATTTGCCACTCAGATCCCATTCATACTAGACTTTTAAAAACCGGTTGAAACCGCTAAATAATAAGCGGAGGAAAACCTGGTTAAAACCCTTAGCGTTCATACCAGACTTTTCATAACCGGTTTTGTAAAAATCCTGTCCGGTGAATATCCAATTAATCGGGCATGACGCAGTTTGAATAACCGTTCCTCCCGCTCTTCCGATTGCTGTCGCCTTCTTGTATACCGTCTTCATGTTCATTACCTTTTACTGTGGCACTGATCCTTAAATAAACCAGGTTCCTCCAACATGTTTGTTTTGTTAGAGCACCCCCCCCCAGCTTTGTCAAATTCGGCGAGTCCAGCTCTCCACAAATACATAAATAAGTATCAGGAGCGTCTGCGGTTGCGTATGCTGATTCCATCGATCTCAAAATTAACAGAAACCGTGGGAAAACAGTGGAAACGAACTCAAATTGGTCAAAACACGCCATAAAAAAGCTTTAGATCGTCCACGGCCAGGATGCTGACCCCGTGACCCCGGAATTATGACGCAAAAACCGGTTCAATAAACCCTTAGCGTTCAGACCAGGTTTTTCGGTGGAAAAACCCCTCAAAAACCCTTAAAAAACCACCTCCCGAGGTGGTTTTTGAAAATCGGATTTAAACCCCTAAAAAACCGGTTAATTTGCGTTCACACCAGGTTAAATAAAAACCGGTTTTTGAAAAACCGGTTGAAACCGCTAAATATAAGTCTGGTATGAACAGGGTCTCAGTGGGGGAAGGCTTCAAGTTGAAATATTCATAGGTTTGTCATCATCATACTATCAATATCATGATAACCATTTACTTTTTCAATAAATTACTTCACAGCCTTGCAACAAAAAGGGTATTAACCTAGAAGTACAGTAAAGAGTTCAAATGTTTGAAATGACTGCATCTGACTTTAAACTTCAATCTGAAATACACCCCAGCCCTGTGCTGGAGAACCTGTGCCAGATGTTACACTTGAACTCCAACTTGACTCTGAAGAGAATGTGAAACCCATTTCCGTTTAGTCTACTTTGGAACTTCAAGATTTGGACTGAGTGCAGCCTCTGCACCTAATCCTTACAATTAGAAATTTAATCCTGTAACAAAGCAAACAGTAACTCCCACTCTGCTGTAACAGTACCACTGCAGTCCTCCTGGGAGCCTGTCCTCCTGGGTTTGAGCAGGGATTAATAAGGGGTAATGGGGTGTGAAA